TTAAGCAAAAGCATGCGATCGCTCGCCGGTCACCATGACGCTAAACGCACTTTCTGGGGAGATTATTCTCCACCCCTCACCTCTGCTTCCTCTATGAGTGCAGTCTGGAAAAAAAGTATGAAAACTGATTGGTAAATATTCTCCTGACCCGGCTCCTGTTCTGGCGGGTTGCCGATGTTGATATAGCAAACCCACTAGAATTTTCCAATGAAATTGGGAATCATCTGGTCCGTATTTCTCAGGGACTCCATCTATGCCCCTCGTTTCTTTCCTCAAAGTCTGCCAGAGAGTTAGCACCCTTGGACTTTTCTTCTCTCAGAGAAGAACAGTATAATGTGCATTTTACACTTCAAGAACTGGAGGCAACATTCTCAGCTTGCTGATCATCGGCAGCTGGGCCTGACGACATTCACATTCATATGCTACAACATTTACATCAGTCAACCCTTGCAGTCCTATTACGCCTTTACAATCTTATTTGGTCACAAGGAGTTCTTCCACAGCTGTGGAAATCTGCCATTGTTCTCCCTTTCCGCAAACCAGGCACTACGGGGCATGAAGCCTCCCACTATCGTCCCATTGCTCTTACCAGTGCAGTTTGCAAAGTGATGGAACGCCTGGTAAATAGACGTTTAGTGTGGTATTTAGAGACACACAACAGTCTCTCCACTCGTCAATATGGCTTTCATAAGGGACGTTCTACCATAGACCCCTTACTACGCTTGGATACATATGTTCGTAATGCCTTTGCGAATAACCACTCAGTTATTGCCATATTTTTTGACCTTGAAAAGGCATATGACACAACTTGGAGGTATAATATTTTAGCCCAAGCCCACTCCTTAGGCCTTCGAGGCAATCTACCATCCTTCCTTAAGAACTTTTTAACTGACAGGCATTTCCGTGTTCAGGTTAATAATGTGCTCTCCCAGGACTTTATCCAAGCTGAAGGTGTCTCCCAGGGATGTGTTCTGAGCACAACACTTTTTCTCCTTGCTATTAATGATTTGGCCTCTAGTCTTCCATCCAATATTTGGTCATCACTCTATGTTGATGACTTCGCTATTGCCTGTGCAGGCGCTGACTGTCACCTCATTACAGTTTCTCTCCAGCATGCGGTCGACTGTGTTTCCAATTGGGCCACCACACATGGGTTTAAATTTTCCAGCACTAAAACCCACCAAATTACTTTCACTAGACGCTCTGTCATCTCCGATCATCCTTTGTACCTCTATGGCTCCCGTATCCCTGAACGTGATACAGTCAAGTTTCTGGGCCTCCTCTTAGACCGTAGGTTATCCTGGAAACCTCACATTACCTCTCTGAAGGCAACTTGTCACAGCCGGCTGAACCTTCTTAAAACTCTTGCTCATCTTTCATGGGGAGCTGATCGTCGAACCCTCCTTCGCCTACATTCCACCCTCATTTTATCGAAACTCGATTATGGTGACCAGATCTATTCAGCGGCATCTCCTGCTACTCTCTCTAACCTTAACCCCATTCATCACCAAGGATTACGTTTATGCCTTGGTGCTTTTCGCTCTTCCCCTGTCGAGAGCCTCTATGCAGAAGCGAACGTTCCATCCTTATCCGATCGCCATGATGCCCATTGCCTTCGCTACTATGTACGCTCTCATGATCTCCGCAATCCTTCCATTTATAGAATGGTCACTGATATTAGTAGACATTCTTTATTTGTTCGCTGCCCCTGTTTACTCCATCCCTTCTCTCTTCACCTTCATTCGCTCTTGTCTTCTCTTCAATTACCACCTTTCTATGTTCATGTAGCATCTCACTTTTCCCTACCCCCCTGGGAAGTTCCAGCTGTTTGAGTCTGTTCATTCTCTCTCCCTTGCTCGAAAGCCCAACTGTCTATGGTCGCTTCCCGCACTCTTTTTCTTGACTACTTCCACTCTCATTCTCATGCCATTGCTGTGTACACAGACGGCTCTAAGTCTTCTGACGGCGTAGGATTCGCAGCAGTGTTTCCGGACAGCGTCGTACGAGGGCATTTACTATCTTCGGCTAGTATTTTTACTGCTGAATTGTATGCCATCCTTGCAGCACTTATCCGTATTGCATCTATGCCTGTGTCATCATTTGTGGTTGTCTCAGACTCCCTTAGTGCTTTACAGGCTATACAGAAATTTGATACACCTCACCCCTTAGTCCTCCATATCCAACTTTGGCTACGCCGCATCTTTACCAAGCATAAAGATATTGTTTTTTGTTGGGTCCCTGGTCATGTTGACGTACAGGGCAATGAACAGGCAGACACTGGTGCGCGGTCAGCAGTACATGACCTACCAGTTTCATATAGAGGTATTCCATTTACGGACTATTTTGCTGCAATATCTTCCCACTTCACACCCGTTGGCAACAACGTTGGTCTACTATGCTCGGCAACAAACTTCAATCTATTAAAACCGAGTATAGGTTACTGGCCGTCTTGTTATCACCAGTGTCGAGGTTGGGAGACTACTCTCTCCCGTCTTCGCATTGGCCATACTCGTCTTACTCATGGATATCTCATGGAGAGGCACCCTGCTCCTCTCTGTGAGAATTGCCAAGCTCCATTATCAGTCAGCCACATTCTGTTGGACTGCCCACTTTATCAACGAGCACGCAGAATTTACCTCCGTCGTCGTCTTCGCTCCGTTGCTCTCTCTTTACCTTCCCTTCTCGCTGATGGACCCACCTTTCATCCGGACTCTCTCATTGACTTTTTGACAACAACTGACTTATTTCACAAATTCTGATACCTTCAGCCCTTTCTACTTCAATCTCTTGCTACCCTCTACCCCCGTACTATCCCCTGCCCCGCTGTTTTCTGTAACCTACTGATCATCCCTCCTCCCTTCTGCCACCCAATACCCTCGCTTCCTTCCCTACCCTGCAGAGCTGTATAGCCCTTGTGGCTTAGCGCTTCTTTTTGATTATAATAATAATAATAATTAGGAACCAATCCTTATTGTGCACTCTTGTTGTACTTAGGAGTTATGACATACACTAATTAAAATTTGCCAACAAGAATCTGCAAATATGTATGGATTGCTGTATACTTGATCATATACTTTTACATTTCTGTTTATTAAGATATCAGAGGCTCATCGCTGGCAGCAAAGACATTCCTGATAAACTTGGGCAAGTGACTTTTTTATATCATTGTAACCACCACCAATTACTCAGTCTGTAACCTTTGTAAGATAGCATGGATGAAAAATATGCATCCAGTTTTTAAAATTAATGTGTCACTCTGATTTATTTATTCAATTTACTAATGTTTTTCACATGTTTTTAAAATTTATTTTGAAGTGCTAAAAATTATTAAATGATGTGTATAGATCCTTTTGTGAAGTTATCTGGAACAAGAAAATGAGTGACCTCAGCCTTAGGAAACCATAAACCTTCTGGGCAATAGGATTACTGATTGAGGAAGTGGCCTCAATCCCATAATGGAATTACTGCATTTGTCATCTGAAATAGTTCTGTTTTGTCGGTGTTTGTAGGCAGTTATTAATAATAATAATATGTTCATTTAATGCACTAAACCCATCTGGGTCATACAGCAAGTAGTTATTAAAAATTTATTTTTGGATAGGTTTTTAAAAAAATTGCAGCCAGTAATAATCTATAAATGTAAAAGAAACAAAAGGCAAGTGTTTTTTTAGTTTGATGAAAATTAATGGTAGAAATTGAAGGTAATTTCTACCATTAATTATCATATAATCATAATTATCATATAATCCCTCCTACCATGAAGGTAGGGGGGATTATTATTATTGGTATATTTAGTAGGTAATCTGATTCATATGCTCATTCTTTTTCCTTCTTTTCTTCTTTCTCCTTCCTTCCTCTTCCTCCCTCCCTCCTCCCTTCCTTCTTCCTACCCACTCCTTCCTACCCGCCTCCTTCCTACCCCTCCTTCCTCCTCCCCCTACCTACTCCCCCCTACCTCCCTCCCCCTACCTCCCTCCCCCTACCTCCCTTCCCCCTACCTCCCTCCCCCTACCTCCCTCCCCCTACCTCCCTCCCCCTACCTCCCCCCCCTACCTCCCTCCCCCTACCTCCTCCCCCTACCTCCCTCCCCCCTACCTACCTCACCCCCTACCTCCCTCCCCCCTACCTCCCTCCCCCCTACCTCCTCCTCCTCTTCCTCCTCCTCTTCCTCTTCCTCCTCTTCCTTCTCCCTCCTCCTACCTACCTCCCTCCCCCTACCTCCTCCTCCTCCTCTTCCTCTTCCTCCTCTTCCTTCTCCCTCCTCCTTCCCTTCCTCCCTCCCTCCCCCCCCTTCCCCCTCCCTCTCTCTCTCTCCATCCCTCCTTTCTTCAACCAAGCACAGCATACATATAATAAGAATTACAAATGATTGCTGAAAACTAATTGATTAATGGTTATGAGGCAAGACCAGAAGCTGGAGTAGAACAGCACAAATATGGGAAACAAATCCTAAGATGAAGAGAAGCTTGAAAACATTCAGAGATTTGTCCTGAGACTAGCCCTCAAAATAGACAACTATGAAGATGTCCTGGAGAAACAATGACTTGGGGAACATGGTCACAACATAAAAGTATTGACAGGCTGAACAGGTTAAGACCAAGCAAAAGAGCACAAAAGTAAACTAAATACTACAATGAACAACAGATAAGTGAAGTAATTCCAGCATGAGAGTGATGAGCAAGTAGAACATACCAAAGAAGAAAGTGGATGAAACCTCTTGTATTTTATTCAAAATATAAACACAACAAAAGCCAAGGGACTGGGGAGGCATCTCACAACTTGATTAATGATTAGGTTACAGGGCCTTGAAACTGAAACGTGATCCTTACACAGAGTACGCATATTTTTGGTAATGTTGTTGGTAATAAATTATTTACTCATTACGGTAATATTCTTATTTTTTTATGCAGTATTACTGTACACAGATTTCTGTTCAGATTCATTTAATATAGAAGTTTATGTCCTGAATCTCCCAGTGCTATTTCATAATGTGTCAACAGATGGGTTCACTCAGACGTCTGTTGAGTTGAGTCAGATGTCCTCTACACGGGGCACCGCTGAAGTGAGTTTCCCAGCCACAACCACCACAACTGATGATATTGTCATGCAGATGGGACAAGGTATGTATTTGTCAACCAGGTTTTCTTATATAAAATATTGTGCTTTTATAGGATGGAGAGGAGGAAAAGTAAAATTTAGCTGATTATGCATTTTATAGTGGCATATGGAACAGTTTAATGAATCAGATGAGTATAGAGTGGAGTTTTTTAATTCACCGACTGTGTTCCAAAAAGGTAGAGTGGCCTAAAAAAAATTATAAGAAAGGCAAATAGAGGCTACAATAAGTCTGTAGAAAAGTCATTTTATGAAGTGTGGGTACAAGATTCTAAATTTTTTATGGCACAAAGCATTGAATTATCTCAATTCTTCCAACATCTCCTCTACATCCCAACATTACTAACCTCTTCCTTCTTTCCTCTTTTCCTTAGACTCCTCTCTTCTTCCTCTTCTTTCTTCTTCATCTTCCTTCTCCTTCCTCTCAATTTCTTGTATTTCTTATCTTCTCCCCCTCCTTCCATTTTTACTAATAAATTTCTTGTGCTGTCCCATACATTAGCCATATGTATTGCTGAATCTAATATATTATTACTGAGGAAACAGTATTGTGGGCAGAGTGTCCAAGTGCTACTTGTGTGTTTTGTCAACTAAAGCACAAGTAGCTAAATGTCTCTCAGAGGACAAGCTATGCATGCATCGATAAAACATGTGGGAGCAAATTGTAAAGAAAGGAACTGTGGATATCGCTATAGCATTGCCATTGTGTACTAGTATTGCACTTCAGCATTGCTTGCTGGTGTCACATTGTAGCAGCATCTGTTGGTGGTGTTGCACTGTAGCAGCATCTGCTGGTGTTGCACTCAGGAGCATTTGCTGATATCTTACTGCAGCAGCATCTGCTGATATCTCACTGCAGCAGCAACTGCTGGTGTTGCACTGCAACTGCATCTGCTGATATCTCACTGCAGCAGCATCTGCTGATATGTCACTGCAGCAGCATCTTCTGATATCTCACTGCAGCAGCATCTGCTGATATCTCACTGCAGCAGCATCTGCTGATATCTCACTGCAGCAGCATCTGCTGATATCTTACTGCAGCAGCATCTGCTGATATCTCACTGCAGCAGCATCTGCTGGTGTTGCACTGCAACTGCATCTGCTGATATCTCACTGCAGCAGCATCTGCTGATATCTCACTGCAACAGCATCTGCTGATATCTTACTGCAGCAGCATCTGCTGATATCTCACTGCAGCAGCAACTGCTGGTGTTGCACTGCAACTGCATCTGCTGATATCTCACTGCAGCAGCATCTGCTGATATCTCACTGCAGCAGCATCTGCTGATATGTCACTGCAGCAGCATCTGCTGATATCTCACTGCAGCAGCATCTGCTGATATCTCACTGCAGCAGCATCTGCTGATATCTCACTGCAACTTCTCTTCTTGCTGCTAACTTAGAACCATTAACCATTCTTCTTCTTCAAGTTGCCTGTTTTCTGACACATATCTCTACCCTGCTACCTCTGGTGCCAACAATTTTTTTATGCCAAAAAAAAAAAAAATGTTTTTTCACTATATGTACATGGGTAATGTATTGGAACTTTTTTGTAGGCCTAAATTTTTTAGTAATAGGGATGATTTTAGTGGTACCAGTTTAGGATTGAGAATGCCTGACTATATCTTTGATGCTTTTGAACTGGTTACCTTTATACCTCCTGGGGTTGGCCTTTTGTAGAATTTTACTAATATATATTCACTCTTCGAGCTATTAATACTTTGTGATGGAATGCCTGAATTGTTTGTTAAAGTAGAAATACAAAAGTCAGGAAGTATTAAGAAAAATATTAATTTCCAGATGTCAGATGAAATGTGTATTGTATATAGTATTAATATATGGTGTTTAAAGAAGGTATTGTCCTGTCCACTGACTTGAATTTTAACATTTTTGGAATCATGGTCTCTCCTCTCCTTCTGTATAACATTGCACAAGCTATAAGTTTCTTCATTGAAAAAAGTGTAAATTAGATATCACATGAAAATTTTGTAATTAACGAATGTTGTCAGACTCCATTTTTATTATTATTAATATTATTATTTATTATTATTATTATTATTATTATTATTATTATTATTATTATTATTATTATTATTATTATTATTGTCATTATTATTATTATTGTTGTTGTTGCTGCTGCTGTTGTTAGTTAATCTTAGTTGTAAAAACATATGTTGACAAAATATATTCTTTAAGGCAGCTCTTTTAAGTTAATGGCATATAAAGTACATAATTTAATAATAATAATATGTATTTAATGATTAAAAAATTAGTACCGTAGTATAGTACATGTAGTATATATAAACGCTTAAGCAGTATAATGTGATCCTTTATTGACAACATTTTGCCCACACAGTGGTCTTTATCAATTATAATTTGATTCATTAGTATTTTCTTAGTTTTAAGATTATCGCTTATAGTGTTTAGTTGAAATATGCCGTTTGTTTTTGTGTTGTAAAAAGTAGATTATTTTATGTGAGTTTACCTCTATTATGGTGTGGAAGAACAGGTTTGTGTTAATTCTTATTTTTATTTTTTTAAATAAAAACAAAGAGAAGGATTGTGGAAAGATTATGAGATATTAATAATGTAATTAAAGTTGAGCTATAACCTAGTGCTGGAGTAAGCTAGCAGATAATTCTTTTAGATATATTTAATTATTTTTACCATGCTTTCAGATATGCATTATGATCCTTGCAAAGCAAAACTTAATAGTCATTTTTTGGGAGGGTATTGATTCATCTATGTGTGATGTATGAATATGATAAAAGTTCATTATTAAGGAATTTTGTAGAGAACTGTGTCAGTCTTCCTTCTTAGATCATTTATTAACATTACACATCCATTACATTATAGAAAAATTTGTAACAGATGAGCCAATGATATTTAAGCATATAATAAATAAAATGATACCGTACTTAAAAGTATAATGCTTAACATCAAATTTTCATTGCTTCTGTACCGTTATGCTCTACAAGTATTGCATCACAAACTACTCACCATCACTGAACCATCATTGCCAGGAATATTCCATGCCACTGTTGAAGTTGTAATAATAATAATAATAATAATAATAATAATAATAATAATAATAATAAAAGTGTTATCCAGAGGGCTGAGGAGGGGTTGTTGAGGTGGTTCAGACATCTGGAGAGGTTGGAACAAAATAGAATTACTTGGAGAGCATATAAATCTGTAGTGGAAGGAAGGCAGGGTGGGGTTGGAAAGGTTGGAAGGTTGTGTGCGAGGGGCTTGGACTTCCAGCAGGTGTGCATTAGCATGTTGTATAGGAGTGAGTGGAGATGAATGATTTTTATGACTTGACATGCTGTTGGAGTGTGAACAGGGTAACATTTATGAAGGGATTCAGGAAAACTGGTAAGCCAGACTTCAGTCCTGGAAGTGGGAAGTTCAGTGCCTGCACTCTAAAGGAAAGGTGTTGATGTTGCAGTTTTTTACCTGTAGTGTAGGAGTACCTCTGGCAAGATAGTGATGGAGTGAATGATGATGAAAATATTTCTTCTTTTTCGGATCACCCTGCCTTGGTGGGAAAATCAGTGTGTTAGTAAAAATTAATAGATAAATTATAAGAATAATAATAATAAGAAGAAGAAGAAGAATAGGCATGTAGTAATCAAAAGTATAATTCAGAGAGATATGAAGTGTTTTGTAGGTAGTAGGTTGGTAGACAGCAACCGTCCAGGGAGGTACTACCGTCCTGCCAAGTGAGTGTAAAATGAAAGCCTGTAATTGTTTTACATGATGGTAGGATTGCTGGTGTCTTTTGTCTGTCTCATAAATATGCAAGATTACAGGTAAGTCTTGCTACTTCTACTTACACTTAGGTCACACTACACATACATGTACTAGCATATATATACACACCCCTCTGGGTTTTCTTCTATTTTCTTTCTAATTCTTGTTCTTGTTTATTTCCTCTTATCTCCATGGGGAAGTGGAACAGAATTCTTCCTCTGTAAGCCATGCATGTCATAAGAGGCGACTAAAATGCCAGGAGCAAGGGGCTAGTAACCCCTTCTCCTGTATATATTACTAAATTTAAAAGGAAAAACTTCAGTTTTTTCTTTTGGGCCACCCCACCTCTGTGGGATATGGCTGGTATGTTGAAAGAATAATAATAATAATAATAAGAAGAAGAAGAATAGGCATGTAGTAATCAAAAGTATAATTCAGAAAGATATGAAGTGTTTTGTAGGTAGTAGGATGGTAGACAGCAACCATTCTGGGAGGTACTATCGTCCTACCAAGTGAGTGTAAAAAGGAAGCCTGTACAGTGGAACTTCTACTTACGAGTGCATCTACATGCAAGTTTTTCCAGATACAAGCAGTCACTCAGTCAAGTTTTTGCTTCCAGATGCGAGCGAAATTTCCAGATGTGAGCAGGCCTCAAGGAAGGTTCCTTGACGCTGGTGAGGGGCTATTGCTCTTGATCTAGGGAATTGGATCTCATTTATTTGTTGGACTATCTTATTGAAACTTGGGCAATGTATGATGGAAAGATGCTTCTTAACGTACACCAAAACTGAAAGAAATCAGACCATAAATAACAAAGTTCTTCTCAGCCATTGGCCGTCCTTTAGCGGTATATTTTCGGATGGTTTTTGTGGTTGTATTCTCATTTTTTTGGTCTTATTTAATAGAATGCAAGATATATTATAGAAATAGATGTGATTTTGACTGGTTTCACAACGAAAAGTACATGTACCTTGAAATTGAGTTCAAAGTAGCAGAAATGTTTGATTTTTGCCAATGTTCAAGAGTACATATATAAATGATGTCACTGTCTTATGTGTGTCCAACTGGCCAGCCTTATATGAAGTCACGAATGGGTTGACATTACATGTACAGTGGACCCCCGCCTTTATGACATTAATCCGTTCCTGAGAGCTCATCGTAAGCCGAAATTATCGTTAGCCGAATTAATTTTCCCCATAAGAAATAATGGAAATCAAATTAATCTGTTCCTGGCACCCCAAAGTATGAA